TAACGTTTAGTTTATGACACACACTTTATTAAAAAATAAAACCAACAACCTATTTTATCTAATTTTTAATTAATTTTAAGTGATCCAGCATAGGCGGCTTGACCATTTTTAGTTCTCCTAATTTTGAATAGATACTGTAAATTACTGTTTATTTTTATAATTTGTTATGCTTGTATTACATCTGTTCATTTCTTAAAATAAATGAAATAAATAGGCTTTTCCATAGATTTTTACTAATCCTAGCTCTGTAACCAGTGAAATCTCAAACTCATTTTTTTACAGGAGAATGCTACCAAAGAGGACTTATATTTGTAAAAAATTCAGGTTTCTATCTGGTCTGCCTCAAGAAATATTTAAAATGAAATTGAGGGGAAACGTTAAAATAATGCAATATATCACCTGTATAAAAAAGAAGTCTCAAACCTGAAATGTTGTACACTTTACCTGCGCTGGTATAGTCCCCCAAAAATTAGAACTAAGATACTTCCTATTATAAATTGACCCAAGTGGACTTTCAGAAATTTTGAGCATTGGAATAGGACTTAAGCTGTAACGCTAAGTGACAACAATTTGAAAATGTTTATATATGCACATGTACCTTGTAATGTACTTTGGAGATCAGTTTTTGGTCCAACAGGCTAGGGCCATCCTGAGCTAAGATATTGATGTTTGCACAAATATCTATATAACCAAGATTTTTTACGTGTTAATACACAAAGATGGCAATTATGGTTAAAGGACCACTATAGTGCCAGGAAAACATACTCGTTTTCCTGGCACTATAGTGCCCTGAGGGTGCCCCCACCCTCAGGGACCCCCTCCCGCCCGGCTCTGGAAAGGGGAAATGGGTAAAAACTTACCTTTTTCCAGCGCTGGGCGGAGAGCTCTCTGCCTCCTCTCCTCCTCCGTTACGCCCCGCCGGCTGAATGCGCACGCGCGGCAAGAGCTGTAAAAATGTTAAAGGTTTTATTTCTTTTATTTTTACAATTTGTAAACTTTGCAAAACCGCTGTCAGCCCCTCCTACAAAACCCTTGTCCTGCCCTGCCCCTCCTACAAAACCTCTGTCCTGCCCCTTCTACAAATCCTGTACTGCCCCATCTACAAACCCCCGCAACCCCCTTCCACAAATCCCCTGCTTATCCCCCCTTATAAAGACTCCTGTCCCAATACAAAACCCCCTACCCCTTCTACAAAATCCCTGCAGCCCCACACACACACATTTACAGGCAGACAGTCACACACTCAGTTACAGACACAGTCACACACTCAGTTACAGACAGACAGTCACACACTCAGTTACAGGCAGACAGTCACACACAGTCACAGGCAGACAGTCACACATACACATTTCCTCCGTGCGGCCAGTTTATCAGTTTACCTAACTACCATGGGACACTGTGCGGCCACAGCTCACACAGCCCCCTCCAGCCAGGGCCGGTACAAGGATTTTGCCGCCCAAGGCAAAAGTAAAGTTTGCCGTCCCCCATGTGACATCACAATGCCCCAGCCATATGATTTGCCATGTTAACTAACGCCAGTGCTGCAGTGCCACCGTGTTTACATTAAAAGGCCTGCAGGGACAGGCTATAGACACCAGAACCACTTCATTAAGCTGAAGTGGTTCTGGGGACTATAGTGTTTCTTTAATGTGAGGTAAATTAGAGCTTAGTGCCACGAATAATATACTAGATTGCCTACTTACAACCAGATGAGAATGATGATGGGCTCTAGCTGCAGTCTGGCTCCACTGGTCTGGTGCAGAACAGGCTCTCTGGAGGCGGTTTGTAAATGTGGTCACAAAAATCAATGTTCTGGGAGAACGGGAAGCAGCTCCATTTTTTTGGGGTCCTTTACACAGCTCAAGGTCTGGGTCCCAGGGTCCACCTTCATATTCCACCAATGAGTTTGTTCACAGGGGGTGGAGTGTGTAGGGGATGTCCTGATATGTGTGTAAGGAATGCATTGTGTGAAATTGTGTTTGTATGTGTAAGGACTGCAAGGTGTGTTTCTGTGTATGTATGGGATGCATTGAATGTGTGCAAGGGGTGCATTAAGTGTGTGTAATGAATACATTGTGTGTTTCTGTGTGTGTAAGGGATGCATTGTGTGTAACGGTTGCATTGCTTGTGTATGTGTGTCTGTGTGTTTTTCTGTGTGCAAGGGGTGCATTGTGTGTATGTGATGAATGTCAATCTCTCCTCCCGCTCCAATTTCCTTCTCCTCCCAATTTCTCTTTCTCACCCCCCTCCTTTCTTTCTCACCCACCCCCTTATTTCTCTTTCTCACCCCCCCTTATTTCTCTCTCACCCCCCTTATTTCTTTCTCACCCCCCCTTATTTCTCTCTCACCCCCCCTTATTTCTCTTTCTCACCCCCCTTATTTCT